CCCACAGTGCTCCCACACGTCTGACAGATGTCATTGCCACAAGAAATGCTACTTTCATAGAACGGTGTAGCAGTGATGGGTTCACATGGGGAAGAGGTGATGATTCAAAGGACCAGGTTCAGGTCCCATGGTGTGGTAGGCTCACGTAGTTCAATGTTGTGATGGTAGGTAGATGGACCTTTATTGAGCTCATGGATAGGTCTGACTGTTTGAGTTCTAATAGGTAACGCAGTATAGAGGGTAATGTCCCTGGAATGGAAGTAATCCGTTTTAGTTGGCACCAGGCCTTAACTCGTCTCCCCTTCAGGGTGTATGGGCGACAGTTCATTTCTGTTTCTGTTCATTTGTGTGTAACTATATTTTGTACCTCCTCTGAACAGGTAAGCTCAGGTTCCGTGAACCATGGAGGAGCCATGCTCTGAGATGAAGTTTCTGTGGATGCAGGACGCAGCCTGAGTCCTGGGACACCGGATGAGACAGAAGTGGGAGTGCGATTCAAGAATGCACGGTCATGCTGAGGGGGTAAGGATACCATGGTTTGGCGAGACCATGATAGTAGAATTACTGTGGCCCATCCGGCCTGATCTTGTGGATCACTCGGTTTAAGAGAGGAATAGGAGGGAAGGCATAGAGAAGGGAAGCGTTCCACTCGAGGAGGAATGCATCGCCTAACGACTGCACACCGAGACCTGCACCGGAACAAAAACGAGGGTGTTTGGTATTTTGTGCAGTTAATAAAAGGTCTACTGAGGGGAACCCCCAGTGTTGAAATACACGCAGGAGTACTGTGTTGTCGAGCTCCCGTCGTGGTCCTGAGAAATTTGTCCATTGAGGGTATCTGCTGTGGTGGTGTGGATATTGTGTCTGATGCACCATCGTCAGGGTTTCATGGCTTGCACACAGAGGTACTGTGAGTGTGCTCCCCCATGTCTGTATATATAATACGTACAAGCTAAGGCTTCAAATAGCCTTATCCTTGATGAGTGGCAGGAACTGGGAGCAAGCATTATGGACAGCTTGAAGTTCCAATAGGTTTATATGTTGAAGGGATTCCACAGGGGACCAGCAGCCCTATATAGAATGTGGGTGCAGGTGTGCTCCGCATCCCAGGAGTGAGGCATTTGTGGTCTGCACAGGTTGGTCAGTTTTGCCCACCAGAGAAGGGGGTCCTTTATTTTGCCCGATATCGTGGGGTGCTTGTTTATGCTGTGTCTGTGTGGAACAAAGTTGATACGTAGCCTTCCTTGTAGGCAACGGATGTTTAATCTGGTGTGCCTGACAGCAAATGTTGTGGCTGCCATGTGGTCAAGGAGTTGGGGGCAAGTCCTGGCAGATATCTGTGGGCTATTTCACGCAGTGGGTATGAGGCTCGTGTCTTGGTAGTGAGGCTACAGCCTCAATAGAGTTGAGTTGGGCCTCAATGAAGTCCAGCTCTTGCACTGTTGTTAGAGTGGGCTGGTTGGTATTTATTAGGAAGCCCAGATTCGTGAAGAGGGGTACCACCTCTTCAGTGGCTTGCAATGCTGTCTGCTGGATTGATGCTTTTAGCAGGCAGTCACTTATAGTGTATAGTGAGACCATCTTGAATCGTTGTGTTTCTGATGAACTTGTTGAATTATTGGAGGTCGAGCATTGGTCTCCATCCACCAGAGTTCTTGTTAGGGGAAGTTGATGGTTGGGATGCAGCAACTTGAGAAGTAGATTGTTGTCCCCTAAGGGCCTGTGTCTGCAACCCTGTGAGTCAAATCACCGCTGTTGTTGTGAATACATTGGCCAGTGGTATCATTGGGATGTAAAGTAATTCCTCTGTTTCCTCTTCGGTTTGGGGTTATAGGTTCGTGTAGTAGTTTTGGGCTGAGGTTCGGCCCTCAGCG